AACTGGATCTGTTATGAAGAGAAAAGGAAACTTGGGGTAGGAGTGGGGGTGCCCACTCTAATGATCGGAAAGTTGGTTTATGGAAAAGGATTTAGATTTTTCTCTTTTGCTTCAAGGGGTATCTCAAGACCAAAAGGTAGAAAAGAACTTCTGCCAGATAGAACTGTCCGTGACTGGAATGCGCTGCCTGAATACTCTGTCACTCGACTTTCTGAGGACACAGAACAACCTCCTTAGAAGGAACTGTGGCATCACAAGAGTTTGAACTGGGTGACCCAAACTGGACTGGATTATGTGCCTCTGGGAGACCCACGCAATCTCATACTGTAGCCGGGAAGCAGCTCATGGCTCCCAGAGAGCATGGAAAGTTCTGGAAAGTAAAATGTGAGGAAGTGAGGCAAGTTCAGGATGGCTGAGCCCTCACGCATGAGGGTGGGGGAGGGAGGTAGTAGTGCAGAGAAATGGGCCTCGGAGATAAAAGTGGAAGCAGAATGGTGAAGGGTCCCCTGTGGCACCATGGATGGGATTCAAGAGTGATGGTTGGCAGCAGGACCGAAGATGGAGGCAAGAGCACATTTCAAGATGAATTCACAGAATTAATGGTGGCAGCAGCCGCAGGGAAATAAGGAGGTGAGAAGAGAGACCGGCTGTGGTGGGGAGTTGCAGGTTTCATGGTGAGTCTGAGGTGACAGTGACAACAGGACACACAAATGGGAAGTGTTGGCAAGTCACAAAAGGACAGCAAAGGGGAAATGCCCAGTAGGCAACTGATGATGTGGAATCAGAGCTCCAGGAGGTCAGGATGTGAGACCGGGTGATGGACTGTCTACAGAGGTGAAGTCACTCAAGTTTCCAGAGTAGATACCTTTCCAGTGGAAAAGAGTTGAGCATGAGGAGAAGTCTAAGGAGGAGCCTGCAGAGCCGACCTCAGCGAGGAGGTGGAGTGATTAAGAAGACGTGAGAAGGAAGAGGCAGAAGAGAGCGGAGATTCGAGAGTGAAATAGGAAACCCGGCAAGAAGGAAGCTTCTAGGGAGAAGAGTGAGCAACATAAATACAGTCTTGTCTTGTGAGCATTCAGCCGTGTGCTGTGGCAGGTCAATGATAGAAATGTTCATTTTGGCAACAACACAGGTGGTGCAGTGTTGAGCTATAAAGTGCTTTTAAGTGGATTCTAGCTATTTCTTAAATGGTATTTTCTACAAAACATGCCTTGGAAAATGACTAAAACTTCGCTCTCTCTCTCTCATTTTCTCTATCAGTAAATTAGAAGTCATTTGAAGTTTAGTAAGTTCCCTTCACATCGTTGCTTTGAGGATAACGTGCCCCTCTGGGAAAGGTATGCCCGGGTGATGGGACGTGCCTGGTCGCCTTGGCCAGGGAGGCGGCAGCAGCAAGGACTGAAGTTAGCATTCTGATTTTTGTTCCTTAAAGCAAAAACCAAAGCCAAAATTAAACACTGACTCAGCTCTTGAGAAATAACTTTTGAGAAATAAAATTAAAACAAATGAAATCAGTTTCTTTTCCATTTAAATATTTCCCTTGGAGCTCTATGCCACAAGGACTGTAGGAGGTGATGACTAGATTGTAAGAAATTTGTTTACTTCCAATAATGACACCTAATAAAGGAAAGACGGTGCCCAAGAAAAAGGAAGGGAGATTGTAAGTTCCCAGTTTGGGCAATCTCAGACATTATCACAGTAAGCACAGCTCCATGTGAAAGCGTTTTTAAAAATGAGCTTCAGAAACTAAGCATTAAGAACAAGGAGGCAGTACCTTCCACGACAGTGACGCTAACCAGGATGACAACTAATGGGGGGTGGGGGGGACTAGATGGCTCAGGCATCCCCTCACCCTTTCAAGCCCTCATGGCTGGGAGTCACAAAAGGCCTAGTTGGGAAAAAAGTATCATAAGACTCTCTTTAGGCATGTCCTGATGTGAAAGCCCTTCCTCTGTAGAGGAGATCTTCTGACAAATGGCTTCCTGGTTCCCGACTCTGCACTGACTCAGCAGAGCCTGTCCAAACTCTCGGCCCTGGTTGTGGCCTCTGGGCTGGATCACAGGCAAAGGAGAGGAGGGAGAGGCTGAGATCATTCACAGTGAAGATTCAGCGGTTTCCACAGACCTGGAGAGTGCCTACGAGTCAGCTGGTCTAACCTGTCATGTCTCACAGATGAAGAAACCGAGACCCAGAGAGAGAAATGCTGTGTTCCACCACAGACCTTCTATTCTGCTGGAAAGGGAGTCTGGGGACTCCAGGGCCCCCTCTCTACAATAACAAAGAAGAATGTATTTGGACTAATAGGCTCCTTTTTTGGGGGGAGATACCAAGTCAGTCATGTTGCCTTTGTAGAGTCCCGCCTCATATTCAGGTAGGTATGACTTCAAATCCTGAAAACAGATTCTCACACATTAAAACTGGAGTTTATGAAAACATCAGAGAGAAGGTGAAACAATGGTCCAGCCCTTCCAGAAAGTATTTAACTTGCAACTCAGGATCATTAGCCCCGTGTATTACCCACTTAGAGTAGTCCCTCTTGTGCAGGGAGCTTTTGTAAGGCCTGAAAAAGAGGCATGTAGAGAGGCTGTAGGTTAAACTGGATTCCTTGGCAAAAGTGAAGAGAAGAGAGCCTCATCAAGAGAACAGTGCAAGATCAGATTTCCTGGGACGCCACAAACTGCCGTAGCTTCACTCGCAGAAACTGAGGTCTTCCTGTTGGTCTTAACTACCCAACAATGCCAGTGCTATTTAACTTCTCACTAAAATGGTTTGTCCTGCCCTTTATTATTGTTTTAAATTATTATTTATTACACTTATGCTTCCCCCTTGTGGGCAAGATGTGGAAGGGTTCAAGATTTGGAAACATTCAAGGAACAGCCCGGAAGTTACCCAAAGAATCTTCCTGTTGGCTCGCCAGAGGTTTTGGCATCTACGCCTGCTGGTGCAACACTCTCCTGCTATTTAAAGTACCCAACGGGAGTTCTCATGAATTCTCCGAGGAGCCACCGCTCTTCTTCTTCCCCTAAGCAGCCTGAGGTGATCTCTGAAAATGGTTTGCTATTCGCTCAACCCAGAAAACCCTACAAAATCATGCAAATCAAGAGGTTCACATCTTCGTGTTCACTTTAAGAACACGTGAGAAACTGCCCAGGCCATCAAGGGTGTGCATACCCGAAAAGCCACTAAGTCCCGGAAGGATGTCACTTTGCAGAAGCCATGTGTGCCATTCTGTCATGACAATGGTGGACTTGGTAGGTGTGTCCCGGGCCAAACAGTGGGGCTGCACACAGGGTCAGCGGCCCAAAGAGAGTGCTGAATTTTTCCCGCACATGCGTAAAATGCTGAATTTAAGGGTTTAGATGTAGATTCTCTGGTCATGCAGCACATCCCAGTGAACAAAGCCCCTAAGAGTCGTGCAGAACTTACAGGGCTCATGGTCAGATTAACCCACACATGCGCTCTCCCTGCCCACCATCGAGATGATCCTGACTGAAAAAGAGCAGACTGTTCCTAAATTAGAAGAGGAGGTTGCACAGAAGAAAAGGATACCCCAGAAGAAACCAAAGAAACAAAAACTTATGGCCCAGGAGTCAATCGTGCAGAGAACAACTGCAAATGAAAGTAAGTAAGTGAGTAGTAAGTAAATAAATAAGTAAAGTACCCAACAAAGGTATCCACAAAGGAAAACCAAGACCTAATCCAAAAATCAAGTATTTAGATGTGGTGTATATGTACAATGGAATATTATGCAGCCATCAAAAGGAATGAAATCTTGCCATTTGCAACAATGTGGATGGAACTGGAGGGTATTATGCTGAGCGAAATAAGTCAATCAGAGAAAGACATGTATCATATGACCTCACTGATATGAGGAATTCCTAATCTCAGGAAACAAACTGAAGGTTGCTGGAGTGGGGGGTGGGGTGGGAGGGATAGGGTGGCTGGGTGATAAACACTGGGGAGGGTATGTGCTATGGTGAGCGCTGTGAATTGTGCAAGACTGTTGAATCACAGACCAGTACCTCTGAAACAAATAATACATTATATGTTAAAAAAAAGAAGATAGTAGGAAGGGAAAAATGAAGGGGGGGAAATTGGAGGGGGAGATGAACCATGAGAGACTCTGGACTCTGAGAAACAAACTGAGTGTTTTAGAGGGGAGGGGTGGGGGGATGGGTTAGCCTGGTGATGGATATTAAAGAGGGCACGTTCTGCATGGAGCACTGGGTGTTATACGCAAACAATGAATCATGGAACACTACATCAAAAACTAATGATGTAATGTTTGGTGATTAACATAATATAATATAATAAATAAATAAATAAAAATCAATCATTTATGGTAAAATAATCACAGTGTATATATAATAGGCACAAATGACGATTTTATACATTCTGTATCATTATCCAAAAAAGTGTGAGGTCCTTGAAGCAAGCACTTTGCTTTTAGTCACTATTTTCTCCAAAGGTTCCAGCCAAGACTTTTGTATGTGCCATCAGAATTCAGTCAGTATTTCTTGAATAAATTACATTAGTCAGTACAGATTTGTTAAGGAATAGGTGGGGAGGGCAAGTTATTCCCACAAGTTGGTTGCTTTAATCAAATCAAAACCAGACACTGCTAGTGAAGTAGGCTAGATGCGGGCGTCAGTTTCCTGTGGAAGGGCAGGAAAGGTAGGAGGGTGAGCGGGCATGTCCTCGCAGCTTCCTGTAGGTACCCTCGCACCCCCCACTCCTCGCCAGGGTGGCTGTGGCTGGCCGAGGCGTGTCCCTGTGTTGGAACATCAGGGCCTAGCCTGGAGGAACAGCCACCAAGCAGAGATCAGGCCTTCATCCTTCACTGTGGTCGCTGGGCTCTGCAGTCCCGGTGGGCAGAAGGGGGGAGGTGACACAGGTCCAGGGATCAGCATTATTTCAGGGCCTCTCCTGACTCCCCCTCCTGGCCCCTCCCCCACCTGCGCCCTTCCGCCCTGATTCCAATCCCCACAGCTCCAACTTACTTGGCAGCGGCGTCTTTCCTCAACTGTTCATGCTTCATGAGGAGATTCTTCCGGTCGCGGAAGGCTTTTCTGACCTTGTACCCTTTGTAGACCGCCTGGATTTTGAAGGCGGCGATGTCTTGTATGGCTGCGATGGACAGGGCGCCGTGCTCCAACATGAACTGGATCACTTCATGGCGCTCGCCCAGCAAAGCGTAGTCCAGGGGAGTGTACCTGAAGCAGGAAGGTATTTTTTAAATATTGGAATGTAATCTGAGGTACACTTAAGCTGGCAATATCAAGCAGCAGAAGGAAATCTCATTCTGAGATGGGGACTATTCCTCAGGCAAGGCTATGTTCTGTGCGCCAGGGCTGTTCCTTTTTTTCTCTGAGGGGACAAAACAAGGGTGGAGCTGGGCTCAGGTGCTTTGTGTTGCTGCCCATGATGATTCCTGAGTTTCGCTTGCTGGCTCACAAACTGGGGGCTGTAGGAACACGTGATCACTTTTCTTCTCCCCTGGGTGCCAAATAATACCCCACTCTGATCTGAAAAGGTACTGTGGATAATATCCTGTGGGTTTCATAAGTTTAAGCCCAGGACTACTGATAGTTAATGCTTATGCAGTAAAAAAATACATCTCCAAATGGAGAGATTTAGTCTGTGATGAGGATGGCCCTTTAAATCAGAAAGCAGAAATTATTAAATAGTGTTGGGACAACTGCATAGCCATCTGGGAAAAAAAAAGATTCTTATATCACATTTTATATCAAAATGAATTCTGGATGAACCAAAACTGAAATATAGAAAGAGAAACCATGAAAGTACTAGAAGAAACCATGGAAGATTTTTTTAAAAATTGGGATGGGAAGGTCTTTTCTAATAAAAATGATACAAAACTCAAACCATAAGAGAAGAATGATAAATCCAACTACATAAAAATAGCAAAATTTTGCAGGGCAAAAAACCCCAAAAACAAAGATAAAAGATAGTCCCCAGAATAAGAAATACTAATACTCCTAAATATACAGAAATATGTTCAACTTCACTCATTTAAGAGAAATACAAATTAAGACGAACAAAGAGAGTACTTTAATGATCAGATTAATGAGGATCAGAAAGTTTAATAACACACTGTGCTGGAAAGGATGCAGAGAGACAGGCTCTCTATGTGCTACTTTAATCTTTAGAGAGAACAATTTAGTAAGATCTGTCAAAATTATTCATGCATCTGCCCTTTGACAGATCCCTTGCAGGAATATATCCCACAGACCTGCTCTTGTGTGTGAGATGCTTTCTGTACAAGGATATTCACAGAAGCACAGTTTGAAATAGTGGAAGACTGGAGATGACCTCAGTATCCACGAACAGGGCACCGCTTACATCAAGTGTGGGCCATTCGTGTGATGCGGTCTTCTGTGTGATGCAGCCTCAGCACAACTGTGGCACGTGAATAAATAAGGAAAAATGTCCAGGGTGTCTTGTTACATGAAGAAAAAGAAAAAAAATGAAGCAACGGAGCAGTACTGGGGCACCTAGGTGGCTTAGTCGGTTAAGTGTCTGACTCTTGATTTCAGCTCAGGTCATGATCTCAGGGTCGTGAGGTAGAGCCCGGCATCGGGCTCCACACTCAGCATAGAATCTGCTTAAAATTCTCCCAGAAAACCCAAAAGACTCCACCCCAAAACTTCTAGAACTCATACAGGAACTCAGTAAAGTGGCAGGATATAAAATCAATGCACAGAAATCAGTTGCATTTCTATACACCAACGAGACAGAAGAAAGAGAAATTAAGGAGTCAATCCCATCTACAACTGCACCCAAAACCATAAGATACCTAGGAATAAATCTAACCAAAGAGGCAAAGAATCTGTACTCAGAAAACTATAGAATACTCATGAAAGAAATTGAGGAAGACACAAAGAAATGGAAAAACGTTCCACGCTCATGGATTGGAAGAACAAATATTGTGAAAATGTCCATGCTACCTAGAGCAATCTACACATTTAATGCAATACCCACCAAAATACCATCAACTTTTTTTCACAGAAATGGAACAAATCATCCTAAAATTTGTATGGAACCAGAAAAGACCCCAAATAGCCAGAGGAATGTATGATCCTCAGAGGACAGCCAGAGGAATGTTGAAAATAGCCAGAGGAATGTTGAAAAAGAAAACCAAAGCTGGTGGCATCACAATTCCAGACTTCAAGTTCTATTACAAAGCTGTCATCATTAAGACAGTATGGTACTGGCACAAAAACAGACACATAGATCAATGGAACAGAATAGAGAGCCCAGAAATGGACCCTCAACTCTACGGTCAACTAATCTTCGACAAAGCAGGAAAGAATATCCAATGGAAAAAAGACAGTCTCTTCAACAAATGGTGTTGGAAAAGTTGGGCAGCCACATGTAGAAGAATGAAACTGGACCATTTCCTTACACCACACACAAAGATAAATTCAAAATGGATGAAAGACGTAAATGTGAGACAGGAATCCATCAAAATCCTTGAGGAGAACACAGGCAGCAACCTCTTTGACCTCAGCCACAGCAACTTCTCCCTAGACACATCGCCAAAGGCAAGGGAAGTAAGGGCAAAAATGAACTATTGGGACTTCATCAAGATAAAAAGCTTTTGCACAGCAAAGGAAATAGTCAACAAAACCAAAAGACAACCAGCAGAATGGGAGAAGATATTTGCAAATGACATATCAGATAAAGGGCTAGTATCCAAAGATCTATAAAAAACTTACCAAACTCAACACCCAAGGAACAAATAATCCAATCAAGAAATGGGCAGAAGACATGAACAGACATTTCTGCAAAGAAGACATCCAAATGGCCAACAGACACATGAAAAAGTGCTCAACATCACTCGGCATCAGGGAAATCCAAATCAAAACCACAATGAGATACCACCTCACACCAGTCAGAATGGCTAAAATGAACAAGTCAGGAAATGACAGATGTTGGCGGGGATGTGGAGAAAGGGGAACCCTCCTACACTGTTGGTGGGAATGCAAGCTGATGCAGCCACTCTGGAAAACAGTATGGAGGTTCCTCAAACAGTTGAAAATAGAGCTACCCTACGACCCAGCAATTGCACTACTGGGTGTTTACCCCAAAGATACAAATGTAGTGATCTGAAGAGGCACATACATCCCAATGTTTATAGCAGCAATGTCCACAATAGCCAAACTATAGAAAGAGCCTAGGTGTCCATCAACAGATGAATGGATAAAGAAGATGTGGTATGTATACACACACACACCCCCCCCACACACACCCACACACAATGGAATATTATGCAGCCATCAAAAAAATGAAATCTTGCCATTTGCAATGATGTGGATGGAACTAGAGGGTATTATGCTAAGTGAAATAAGTCAATCAGAGAAAGACTAGTATATGATCTCACTGATATGTGGAATTGGAGAAACAAGACAGAGGATCAGAGGGGAAGAGAGGAAAAAAATGAAACAAGACGAAACCAGAGAGGGAGACAAACCATAAGAGACTCTTAATCTCAGGAAACAAACTGAGTGTTGCTGGAGTGGCGGGGGGGGAATGGGGTGGCTGGGTGATGGGCATTGGGGAGGGTATGTACTATGGTGAGCACTGTGAATTGTGTAAGACTGATGAATCACAGACCTGTACCCCTGAAACAAATAATACATTATATGTTAATTAAAAAAAAAAAAAAGACTCTCTTTCCCTCTGCCCCTCCCCCCAGGTCTCTCTCTCTAAAATAAATGAATCTTTAAAAAAAAGACCAGAGCAGGGGCGCCTGGGGTGGGTCAGTTGGTTGGGCGACTGCCTTCGGCTCAGGTCACGATCCTGGAGTCCCGGGATCGAGCCCTGCATCGGGCTCCTTGCTCAGTGGGGAGTCTGCTTCTCCCTCTGACCCTCCTCCCTCTCATGCTCTTTGTCTCTCATTCTCTCTCTCTCAAATAAATAAATAAAATCTCAAAAAAATAATAAAAAATAAAATTCTTTAAACAAAAAGCCCAGAGCAGTATTATGGCATGCCCCATTTGTATGAAAAAGAACATATGCCTGTATGCTTATCTTTGTAAAATATCTCTAGAAGTTTACCAAGAAACTTGTGACAGTGACGTCCGTGGGGAGGACGCTGGTTGTCTCAGAAGCAGGGGTGGGAGGGACACTTAGTTTTCATGCCTTTTAAATTTTGTACACTGTGCATACCTTTTTGACAAATATATTATTTAGAAAAGATGAGTTGTATTGTCAGATGGTTATATATTTTAATCTCAACTGGCTACTTTCTAGATGTATAATTTTAGGCAAATTCCCTTCTTACAATATATCTTTTCTATTTTTGGAAATACAAAATAATCGGATAAATACACAGAGGAACATAACAATGGTCATCTGTATTCCCACCCTTAGAATTAACCGGCATTCTTCTCTTGGCAGGTATATTATTTTTCTTAAATGATTACTTTGCAATAATGACACATATTTAAAGAATTCAAACAGTGCAAAAAATACAAAAATTGAAATAAAAACAAAACAAAACAAAACCCCAATTCTACCTTCCAATCATGGTAATGCTGTCACTTCTTCACCCACTTATCTTTCGTCATTGCAGACTTGGCATGAGGAGGAAAGGAAATAATAAATACAAAGAAGATAACACTGTGCCTGGCATCAAAGAAGCAATTAGTAAATGTCAGCTGCTGTCGTTCTTATGCTAGGACACCCTTGCAGCAGGGCTGGTGACACCACGGTCAAGCATCATCACTATCATTTCCAAAGGGCCCAAACCAGTAGTGATGACCGCCCAACGGTGGCCAGGGGTCTGAGTCCTGTCTAGGTGGCTGTTACTCATCCAAAGCAATCAGAGGTTTTAGGAAGAAATAAAATAATCAGCTGATTTATGAGGTGGAAACACTGATGATTATACAGATGCATGATTAGACACAGAAAATCATTCGGTGATGATAGAAATTTTCTCTTTTCAAAACTCTCCTGACAGTCATAGTCAGACATAAAAGGAGGAGATTTTTCAATATAAGCAAAGGGTGAGTTAGTTACTTCTAGAAGGAAACTGAATTCAGGAAGAAGTCCCAAATGCTAAAATGAAGAAACTCATTTTAGGACATCTCGATTTGCCTCTACTGTCCAGGGACCAGAAGGACATAAAGTAACGGTGCCTACATAAACTTTAAAACATTATTTCTAAGTAGACGGCATCCCGTAAATTCAGAAGAACTTAAAAATATTTCACTATATATTCTATTTAAAAATTTATTATTATTTTTAATTTTAATTCCAGTGTCATTAACATAGAGTGCTAAATTAGTTTCGGGTATATAATATGGGGATACAGTGATCAAGTGTAATCACTATGTATTCTAAAACGCCTTTCATGATGTACTCTCCCCAGTGGAAAAAAACAATCAGAGTCAACTCCATGATAGTAGAGCTAAATGGAAATTTAGAGGTCATTTAGTTTATCTCCTTCCTTTTATAAATGAGTCAACAGATCCAGAAAGATTAAGCAACTTGCAGAAGGTTATGTAACTAGTTCCCTGCAGAACCCAGACCTGATCTAAGATCGTATGACTCCCTGTTCAGTCATCTGTCCATAGCACATCTATCAGTTCTTGAGTATAAACCTCCTACAGAATGAAACTGCTTCTCAAACCAACGTGCAAATAACATATGTATTTAGTAAGCTTGATCATCTTTTCTATAATTACTAATGTGGAGCGTCTCTCACACAGTATACAAGCAGGATTATCAAAATCTGGTTTATGAAAGTAAGGCCCGACCTCTGCCTTTACTAGATCTCTCAGGGCTTCTGGATGGAAAATTGCATTTCAAATATTTTAAATACCTTTATCATGGAAAAATTGTATTTTTATTATGAGAAACTTCAAGCATAAACAAAAGTAGAGAGAAGAGCATAACCATTTTTATGCTCATTACCCAAATTTAACAAGTAGCAACATTTCTGCCACATTTGCTTCCTCTAACCCCTTCCCTATTATTTTTGCTGAACTGTTTTAAAGCAAATCCTAGAACTCCTCTATCATTTAATCTCTCTGCATTTCAGTATTCATCAAAAAATAATATGGACACAAGCACAATGTCATTATGGTATTAGCAAAATTAACAGGAATTCCTCAGCAAAATCTAGTACCCATTCCAAATACAAATTTCCCCGATTTTCTCAAAAATGCCTTTTTTTAAATAATTGGTTTATTCAAATTAGGATTCTCCATCAATTTTTGATTCAGGGAAACACAGTCCAAATATCTAGAAAGATTTTAAGACTGAAGTCTATGCCTTAGTGTTTAGGCACTGACCGTATTGTAATTATTCCTACTGAGTCTTTCTTCACCCCAAATTCAATTTAGAAACATTCAAGTACTGTGAATATTCCCATCAAAGTCGGAGTGTGGCTGTCAGATAGTTATTGACTGAAAGCCAGCAGTAGTTGGCAAAAATTATGTCTATACAGTGCACATCAAGTGGTTGGTGTCAATGCATGAGAAGTAAAAATTAGCACTACACTGATGGTAACCAGTCAAGAAACAATGCAGATAGAGACAAGATACAAGACACAATTGGACTTGCCAAGCAGGACTGGTCTGATGGGATGAGTGGAATGCCTAAACTGGAATGTCAATAAACATAAAAGGCAGCACCGGGTTCTGACATTTGTACATCAAGGTGCACTGCTGATGAAATATCAGAGGAGACTGGGATGTTGCCACTGTCCATCTTCATCTACAGGTTGGCAAGTACAGCTACGAGGATTTTTCCTGTGGTCTTTTGGTCTGTAACTAACATATGTTTACTCTAGGAGGCAGGAAGCACCTTAATTCAGACTCTTCCTTAGGCCTAAAATTCAAGTCTTACCATAAAAATGGGACTTGAGTTACAAAAATAAATGTTTTTTTATTGTTTCCTAAGAAAACAGCAGTCAGGCAGTAAATACTGTTACAGAATAAATCCTTTATTTTTTAAAAAGATTTTACTTATTTATTTGACAGAGAGAGAGAGACAGCAAAAGAGCGAACACAAGCAGGGGGAGCAGGAGAGGGGGAAGCAGGGAGCCCGATGTGGGGCTCGATCCCAGGACCCTGGGATCATGACCTGAGCCGAAGGCAGACGCTTAACTGACTGAGCCACCCAGGTGCCCCATAAATCCTTTATAATAGAAATAAATCACCACTAATTCTTAGGATTCTTAATCTTTCCCTTTTGTATTTTTTTAGTGTTTCAAAGAGAGAAATCTTCTGCTCTCTCACATATCTGCTTTAATGTCAAAACCTCAGCCCTGAGGATTCTGCTTGGCATTCCAGCTTCCTTGAATGTCCAAACCTCTAAATCTTCGAGTCTTTTTGGTTTTACAGTTGTCATTTGATGATAATAGAGAGAATGAGTTCTTTATAGAACCCCTCTCAAAGTAAGACATACTAGTCTGATTTATCTAATTCTGTATGTACTCAAAGAATTCCAGAAGTTTCTAATGCGGGTATGTAGCAGGGGATACTACTGGGAGACTGGAAGCATCAACTTAATAATGCAACAGTTCTTTACTAAGCATCTACTTCCTGAAAAGCACTGTGAACAACACAGAGATGACAATGATCTTCAGGAGTTCTCCGCTAATATGGAAGACAGATTACATAAAATTATAATATAAAGTGAAATGTGCCAGATGCTATACAAACTCAGAGTGTAGGGGAGAACATCGTTTGGAACACATGCCTCTGGGATCAGGACAATCTTCTTAGGTGAGACTGCATTTGAGCGGAGGAAGGACAGGATAAACAATTACGTTAGAAATGTGATTTAGGGAGGCTACTTTGGAAGCAGATGAACTGAATGAGGGGAAGTTCGAAGGGAAGAAAACAGTGAGGAGGCATTCCGACAGTCCCAGGAACGTGTCAGAGGGCAAGATTTACATGACGGTGCTGGTAACGAAGAGGAGGTGACAGTGGGAACTGAGGAGAGACACTGAGTCTGAAGGACAAATTTAGAACTCACCAGCCCCCAGGTGACTATCGAAGCCTTGGTGGTAGGTCAGAGGGCCCAAGGAGATGGGCTGAGAGAAAAAGGCCCAGTCCCTGAAGAGTGTTTATATTAAAAAAAAAAAAAAAATGGAAAAGGAGCCGAAATAAATGGAGAAGGAGCAGACGTGACTGGCAGAGAATCAGGAAAATATACTGTCTCAGTAAGGTAAAGAAGGGGGGTCAACAGAACCCGGTGATGCAGGCAGGCCAGTGAGAGGAGACAGAGGGGCCGACGGAGGATTTATCAGTGAGTCTGTCAGTGACCACTCAGCACGGTTTCAGTGTCCGTGGGAGGATGGAAGCCAGACTGTGAAAGCACAACCCACGAGCAAGAGGAAATGGGGCAGTGCAGACAATCCGAGAGAAGGAGGGCTTTACAGGCAGAGAAGACAAACCTCAGACCTCAGAAAATAACAGGTGGAGGCCATCATTAATGGGGAGAGGTTCTGAAAGAAGTGGGAGAGATGAAGGGGTTCAGCCCAGAAAGGACGAGTGGGTTTCCTGAGGCAGGTGGCCTAGAGAGAGTCCCTCCTTCTCCACAAGGTCTCCCATCTCCTGAAAGAACTGGTGGTAGCTACGGGGGGGGCGGGGGGGGGAGAGGGGGACGGGACATGGTGTCACAGCGGGAGCCACTGCAGTTCCAGCATTCATGAATGACGACAACCAAGGCACAGACCTGGCTGGCTGGAGCTCAGGTGTGGAAATCTCATCACAAACTTGGTTGTCACCTACAGGTGATCAGAATCTTCTTAGATCCAAGACCGCCAAGAATCTCTCCTGCTGAGACTTCACACTGTGTCTGGTCCTTTATATGGGGCCTGGGCCCTTGGGCATAACTCCAGCCTAGCTCTGTGAATCCTGGGTTATTCAGTCACCTCACCTTCTCCTTATTTCTTCATGCCACATGGTGGCACCTTGGTCCACTATCCTGTTCATCAAGAGAAATATCTTCAACATATGACCCGTTCCTAGGCCTGGCCCATCAGGACTCCCCTGACGTTATGCCAGCCACAAGCCACAAGAATGTCTTTCCTCATCTGTAGTTTGTGAGCTTGCCAGAGGTAAATCTAAAGTTCTGAGTGATTTTAAAATCCCAGGATTCTAAATCAACACTACAGGGACTTTTGCTCTTTTCTTCTCATTCAGGATTTCTTTTTTTTTTTTTTAAAGATTTTATTTAGTTATTTGATAGAGAGAGACACAGCGAGAGAGGAAACACAAGCAGGGGGAGTGGGAGAGGGAGAAGCAGGCTTCCCGCCGAGCAGGGAGCCCGATGCGGGGCTCGATCCCAGGACCCCAGGATCATGACCTGAGCTGAAGGCAGACGCTTAACGACTGAGCCACCCAGGCGCCCCTCGTTCAGGATTTCTTAGTGTAGCATTTCCTTATGAGTATACTTAGTACTTCTGAACTAGTATCTCAACTTGAGGTTTTTTAATAGAGCAGAAAGGCAGTGAGTTGAACAACAATACATTCTTCTTACCAACAGCTTACCTTTCTTCATTGTTTTCCATCTGATTAGGGAAAGCAGCAAAGTCTAGTAGTAATTTAATGGCATCAAGGTATCCATTGTTACAGGACCAGTGCAAAGCTGTTCTTCCCTATAAGCACGAACAAAAATCAGGTATATCTGGAATAGGTATTTTTGGACACATAGTTATTGATGCTAACTCAAAAATACAAATGATGCTCCCAAATTGCTTCATTATAAAAAGGGAAAATATTTCTCCACTCAAATACACAGTGGAAAAAATGGATGGTATCTTAACTAAGTGATCAAAATTAATACCATGTTAAGAGGCACCATGTGTTTCCAGAGGTGATATCCTGAGAAGGATTCAATATCACTTGTATAATGCTCCAACCAAAAAAGTAAAACTTAAGTCTAATTATGAGGAATCATAAGGCAAACTCAAAATGAGTGAGATTCTACAAAATAAATGGCTGATATTCTCAAAAAAACTCAGTATCATGAAAGATAAAAGAGGCATGAAACATTGTTAGATCTACAAGAGGGATATTTCATAGTTTTAAAGGCGTCAAAGAGGAAGATACCACAATCCTAAATCTGTATGCATCTAATAACAAAGCTTTTAAATATACAGAACAAAAAATGACAAAATTAAAAGGGGATATGGTCAAATCCATAATCAGTGAGAGATTTTCAACCCACCTTTTATAATAGTTCATAGAACAAATAAATGAAAGGACAGTAAAGATATAGAAGACCTGAACAATACAGTAAAAAACTTTGACCTAAGTGATACATAGAAGACATTGCATCCAACTATGATACAACCAGTATTCTTTTCAAGTGTACATAGAACATTTACCAAAATCAATCATATGCTGGGCCACAAAGAAAGCCTCAAAGGACTTTGAAGAGTTAAAATGATTCTGAAATAAAAGAAAATAATTCTGTTATTCTGTTTTTAGACCACAGTAGAGTTTGAGTTACAAATCAGTGTGGTAGACAGAATAAATGCATGCCTTTGCAAAGATGTCTATGTCCTAATCTCTGGAATCTGTAACCCTATTATGTTATTGGAAAGGGGAAATTAAGATTGTAGATGGAATTAAGGTTGCTAATCAGCTGACCTTCAAATGGGGAGATTATCCTGGATTATCTGAATAGGCCCAGTATAAGGATTATACGGGGAGGGAAGGAAGGAGAGAGGCAGGAGGGCGGGTGTTAGAATGATGCAGTGTGAGAGAGACTCAGCCAGTCACTGCTAGCTTTGAGGATGGCGGAATGGGACCATAAGCCAAGGAATGAGGGCAGCATCGAGAAGCTGGAAAAATGAAAGAAACAGATTCTCCCCTAGAACCTCCAAAAGGATTGTAGTCTTGCCAAAACCTTGATTTTTAGCCCAGTGAGACCCATTTTGGACTTTTAGCATCCAGAAGAGTAAGATAATAAATTTGTGTTGTTCTAAGCCACTAAGTTTGTGGTAATTTATTATAACAGCAAGAGGAAACCAATATAATCACTTACCAAAAGACAATGAGCAAATGCCCAGCTGCCTGGAAATTAAGCAATACACTTCTAAATAATCTATGGGTCAAATAACAAATCAAAATAGAAACTAGAAAATATTTGAGCTGAATTATAGTGATGGTACAACTTATCTAAACTTTTAGGATGAAGTTAAAGCAGTGCTTAGAATAAGAAGCATGCTTAAATACATATACTGGAAATGAATATTGAAATAAATCAATGATTTAAACTTTTATCAAAAGAATCTTTAAAAAAAATAGTAAATCAAACCCGAGGAAAGTAGACGGCAGGAAATAATAAACACCAATGAAATAGTAAACAACTTAAAATGTAGAAAATCAACAAAGAAGTAAGTCCTTTGAAAAGACGAATAAAATGAAAAATGTTTTTAAAAAGAAAAGACACAAAGCACATTACCAATATATGAAATGAATAAGAGGAAATCACTAAAGGTCCTACAGTCATAAAAAAGGTAAGTGAGGGCGCCTGGGTGGCTCAGTTGGTTAAGCGACTGCCTTCGGCTCAGGTCATGATCCTGGAGTCCCTGGATCGAGTCCCGCATCGGGCTCCCTGAGTCTGCTTCTCCCTCTGACCCTCCCCCCCTCTCATGTGCTCTCTCTCATTCTCTCTCTCTCAAATAAATAAATAAAATCTTTAAAAAAAAAATTTAAGTGATTATATGACCAACTTTATGCAAAAACATATGGTATGTTAATAAAATAAAATAAATTTCTCAGAAAATGCAACTTACCAAAGCTGAAAAGAAAATAATTAGAAATCTGAATGGTCTTGTAATTATAAATGACACTGAACCAGTTATTAACACCTTTTACACAAAGAATACCACTAGACCAGATGACTTTACCGGGGAATTCTTCCGAACATTTAAGAAAGAAGTAATACCAATGTTACACAAATTCTTTAGGAGAATAAGAGGAGCTACTTCCTGACTCTTTTTAATTCACCATATTAACAGCAAAGAGGTGAAAAATCATGTGATCATCTTGAAAGATACAGAAATAGTATCTGACAAAAATTAAACAGCTAATTGTGAATAAAAAACCCCCAATTCTTAGCAACTAGAAATATAAGGTAACCTATAGGAAATATCATATTCAATGGTGAAATATTTCAAGCTTTCCCCTTGAGAAACCAGAATGAATTAAGGATACCAACTATCACCAATTCTATTCGACATTGTATTGGAGGTATCAGTTAGTTCAATAAGGTATACTATTCACAAATGATATGCTGTTTATGCAGATAATCCAAAATAGTACATGTAAAAACTAACAGAACTGGAAAGTAGCTTAGTATATACTACTTCTGTAAGAAACCGGCAACTTGTAAAGACAATGTATAAGGTACTACAGATTACAAAAGATTCATTTCTAATCACATAGATACAAGGACCATATTTCACATATTTTTCATTATGTTACTTTTACAGATAGGAACAATCTTGATAAATATTTACTGAACGAATTAATAGAAAATATATTTTCTGGCTTGGAAAACATAATATGCTAATATTTTTGAAGACTTAATGTAATTGAAGTAGCAAAAAAATCAATACTGGCTAGACTGAGAGAAGTCAATACAATACTACATAGCTGGGAAAGTGGAAATTAACCCACATGGTTTAGAAATCTATTCAACAGGGGCGCCTAGGTGGCTCAGTTGGTTGAGCGACCGACTCCTGATTTCAGCTCAGGTCATGATCTCAGGGTCGTGAGATGGAGTCCTGAGTCAGGCTCCATTCTCAGTGGGGAGTCTGCTTGGGATTCTCTTTCTCCCTCTCCCTCTGCCCCTCCCCCCGCTCAGGTGCATGCTCTCTCTCTCAAATAAATAAATAAAATCTTTAAAAAAAAATCAGTTCAATAGTATATATCAGAGCTCAATCACATTCATATACCAATAATAAATAATCTCACTTAGGGGAAATGATTCTAAGGAAACAATAAAAAAAGTTAAATGCACAGCAATGATCAATGAAACATGATCAATAATAATGAAAAAGTACCCAGCCATAGGAAGTTACTTGATTCTAAAATTGGGGTTACAGGCATAGTTTGGACCCTGACTTCCCACACCAACCCTGCCTCTGTTGTCACCTTAGGGTATTTGGGTAAGCTCCATGAGCTTCAATTTTCTCACCTGTAAATGGGAATAATAATAGCAATTCCTTTACAGAGTTGCTGTGAGAACTGAATGAGTGATTAAACATAAAGCTCCTAGAACTTTGGAATACTCAGCATCTACGATTATGCAGAAGATTATACACCGAATGAGAAAATCATGGTGATGATTTTAAGTGAACAAAACGTGCTTTGTGAAATATATATCTATATGTATACACATACGTACACACATGCCATGCATATGTATCTTATGAAGGTTATAAAACTATTCCCATTCTGTATTATGACTTTGTTATGGCAGATATGGATATATAGACAAGAATTGGAAGGAAAACGGGGAAAAATAAAACTCATTTTTAATTAACAGATAAATTTGTAAGTGACCTCTATTTGGTAAAATGTTTTACTTTATTTTAGGTAATGAAGAAGAAATACTCTAACAACCGGGAGCAAACAATATTAAAATATGTAGATTTTCTACCTCTTTGTCTTGAATGTTAGGGTCTGCACTATTTTCCATGAGCACCGCCATGCAGTTGATGTAGCCGCCGTAGGCAGCACACTGCAAAGGGGTGCGTCCTGCGTAATCTTGCACGTTGGGATTGATCTTATTTTCTATCAGTATCTGGCAAACATCGGCATTTCCTCCCAGTGCTGCCCAGTGTAGAAGAGAGTGTCCGTCTTGATCGACTAAATCTACCCTCGCTCCACCTGAAAAAGCAAAAATATAATGAAAATGTCCAATACAGAGAGCTTGCTCAAAAAGAAGTCTGAAAAATGTAACAACAGTCCCTTAAATGCTTTACTCTCAGCAAAATGTTGCCACGTACATTATCTACTTCAGATTTTTACAATAAGCCTGTAAGTTGGTCAGGGCACGAGCCATCTTTCTTTCATACGAAGTGAAACTGAGGACCGGGCAGGTGAAGCGGCTTTTCCAAAACCACACAACGGCCAACAGGCGGAGCTAGGACTGGACCTCAGGTTTCCTGGTGCGCCTGCGTGTGCGCGTGTGTGCGTGCGTGCGTGTGCGTGCGTGCGTGCGTGTGCACGCACACGGCGCTCTTCCCTCCATCCTTCCACCCAGGTGGCCCTCTGCTATGTAAGCTGTGTTTCAAACAGTGCCTGCAAGAATTCCTGCCTGTTGAGAGTGACTTGGTAGGAGCACTCTTAATAACCAACCTTTAATAAGTGTCTGAATCACATCTTTGTGTCCCATCTCACAGGCTCGGAAAAGTGGAGTATGCTTCATGACATCGGTGGCATCCACTTGAGCGTTATTTTCCAACAGTAGCTTCACGGTGCTGACATGGCCAGAAAGGGCAGCGGCATGTAAGGCTGAAAAGGGAGTGAAAGAAAGCAAAGAACTCTTTGATAACAACTTCACCTTTTCCTTATTCTAACTGTGCATCTTTTCCTCTTCTGATGTCCTCATCATTTTTGCTAAATGCAATTTAATCTTTTTTTTTTTAAAGATTTGATTTATTTATTTGAGAGAGAGAGTGCACACACGGGCGGGGGTGGGGGGTAGCAGAGGAAGAGGGAGAAGCAGGCTCCCCGCTGAGCAGGGAGCCCGATGTGGGGCTTGATCCCAGGACCCTGAGATCATGACCTGAGCCGAAGGCAGACACTCAACCAACTGAGCCACCTGGGTGCCCCTAAATGCAATTTAATCTTAAGGATTCTCTATTGTTCACTTCTATAGATTTCAGTCTTCCTTTTTAGTCACAGGTACTACTCACACTTTCCCCCTGTCCTTCTACCTTTCTTGTCTCACTGTTTCTTCCTTTCCATCCTGATGGTCTGAAATGCTTTCCAAAAAACGACAAAGAGCAATGATTTAAATGACGCAGGCAATTCTGCCCACCACCCCACTCGATAAGCATATGCCCGAGGGTTGGTGTGATGGGAAGTGTCAATCCACTGGTCCTTCAGCTGCCGAGCCGCGCTATTCCTGCCGGCGGTCTGCGCACCCATGTGGTGCTGAGGGGATGCACAGCCCACTGCCTCGAGTGCATTTTTCATACAACATGGCTTCAACTGCAAGCCACTGATTTCCTCCGGGCCCAATTTAAGAAACAGCAATTTGTTTCAACATTGGAGAAAAAACCTGAGAAGGAATGTGGTCCCCTCTCTGGTGCCTTCATATGGGGTTTGAAAGAGGAATTTTGACTCTCTGTGGGTTTCAGGTTGTGCTGACCTCTGCCTGTGTTACTCCCCTCTAGTGCTTGACTTACGCCAGTACTCTTTGGATTACTTTTTAAATTCTATTTAAATACATCACTCTTCAAATTCTGAGTTTGCCAGCAGAACTGTCTAGAGGCCTGGGCCAGTTCTTTCTAAGTATCATGGCCCTATAATGCCTAGAACAATATTTCTTTTTTTTTTTTAAGATTTTATTTATTTATATGAGAGAGAGAGCACAAGAGGGGGAGGGTCAGAGGAAGAAGCAGACTCCCTGCTGAGCAGGGAGCCTTATGCGGGACTCGATCCTGGGACCCTGGGATCATGACCTGAGCCAAAGACAGTCACTTAACCAACTGAGCAATCCAGGCGCCCTAGAACAATGTTTCTTTCAATAAAGTGTGATCCATGGCCCAAACCCAGGATGCCTATAAAAGTGCAGATTCCTGGGCATTTGTTGAGAACCTTCTATGGGCTGGGTATGAATGTGATGGTGGGAATTCAGCAGAGAACAAAATAGATAAGGTTACGTTCTAGTAGGGGAAGCAAAATAAAAACTGAACAGATAAACAAGAAAGTATTAGATGGTGGTGGATGGTATGATTGGAGTAATAAAAGGTATCTTGATATGCAGAGTGACTGGGAGACCACTTTAATTGGTGGTGACAAAAAGCCTTGCTAAGGAGCTGACACTGAAGTTGAGACCTGGGTCAAAAAGAGATAGCAATGTAGAGATCTCGAGAGGGAGTAGTTCGAGCAAAGAGAACAGTTAGTCCAAGGGCAGGAATGAGTTTATGTGCTTAAGGAAGGCAAGGAAGCTGCAGCACAATGAAGTAAGGCAGAAAGGTAGAGAAGGCCAGATCCTAAGTGGCCACACAGGTCCCAGTGATGAAGGGCCTGAAAACTTCACATAGGTGAGTGAGACTATTTGACTTGTGCCTTAATGAGATCCCTCTAGCTGCTCTGAAGAGAATATACGTACTGTAGTAGGTGAGAACCAGCTAACACTATTGCAGGAGACTCAGTAAAAAATGCTGGTGGCGGGGCGCCTGGGTGGCTCAGTTGGTTAAGCTACTGCCTTTGGCTCAGGTCATGATCCTGGAGTCCCAGGATCGAGTCCCGCATCGGACTCCCTGTTCAGCAGGGAGTCTGCTTCTCCCTCTGATCCTCCCCACCTCTCATGCTCTCTCTCTCTGTCTCATTCTCTCAAATAAATAAATAAAATCTTTAAAAAAAAAATGCTGGTGGCTTGAACTAGGCTGGCGGGAGTGGAGACGGAGAGAAGCAGAAAGATTTAGGATATATTTTAGAGGTGGAGTCAATAGGACTTACAGGATCTGAAGCAGATTTCTGTCTATATAGTCTGGGAATCTGTATTTAAACAAACACCGTCACAATTCTTACATGCACTTGAGTTGGAGGACCCTGATCTACATGGCTGAATGTTAGTTTGGCCCAGACAAGATTCAGAAGAGTGTGAGAGACTTCAAGTATCTTAGGGGCTGCCATGTGGAAGACAGCACAGAGCAGAACATTCACTTTGACAAATCTGGGCTCAGTGTAAGGAAGAATATTCTGATAGTTAGTTTAAGATGGAATTAGTGGGTTCTCCATATTGGAGCTGCGTAACGGGAGGTTGACAGACCACTGGTGAGAATGCTGTAAGGCAGATCAAGTGTGCTACATCTATGAGAGTTTGGTGACTTTCACATTTTAAGAGGATAAGAATACATCTGCCCCCAAATGAAGCTTTATAAAACACTCATCATATAAAACTGGTAAGAGTTGAGTGGTTCTGACTAAAGCAGGGGTGGAGGGTTACCCCCTTAAGTACCTGCCCCCCTCGGCAACACTTCAGCACTCTATAGAAACCCGTTGTTCTTGGGGCGCCTGGGTGGCTCAGTCGTTGAGCATCTGCCTTCGGCTCAGGTCATTGTCCCAGGGTCCCAGGATCGAGTCCCACATCGGGCTCCCTGCTCGGCGGGAAGCCTGCTTCTCCCTCTCCCACTCCCCCTGCTTGTGCTCTCTCTCTCACTATGTCTCTCTCTGTCAAATAAATAAATAAAATCTTTAAAAAAAAAAAAAAAAAAGAAACCTGTTGTTCTGAAGAATATGGTTTGGAAAACCCTGGACTAGATTTAATTTTAATGTATTTTCTAATTTTAAAATTCTACAATTCTGTGATGCTGCATCAGTATGCAATAAATACTGTTCAGATGTCAATGTCAAAAAAAAAAAACCCACCCCACCACAAAATCCCAATTAAGCAAATGATAGAATTCATTTTCTTATTAATTGAAATTCCCCATTTCTGTCTATTTGCCTTTACATTACTTTAAAATAACCTTAGATTTAAATACTGTTGCTCTCTTTGAGAAGGTATCACAAATTTACACAGGAGCCCTAATTTTTTATTTAACTTTCTGTCATGGAAAATTTCAAACATATTCAAAAGAAAAGACAATAATCTAGAGAACTCAATATAGCCATTCCCTAGCTTCAAGGACGATCAGCAGATGCCTGGTTTTGTTTCATCTAACTGCCAGCCATTGTCCCCACTTCTAATTGATTTGAATAAAATTCTAGAGTCACATCCTTTCCTTTGTAAATATTTTAGTAAGTCTATCTAAAATACAATGATGTGGGGTTTTTTTTGTTTTTGTTTTTTTACACAACCACTGCATCAGTCAGTGTCTAGGAGACAGAAACCATGCCAGATACTTTAACAGACAGAGTTCAAAATAAGGAATTGTTAGCTATGGATTGAAGAAGGAAAAAGCAAAAAAAGGAACACTAAGGGATCACAGAGGTGGTACATGCAGAAGACAACCAGCAATTCTAGGGCCAGGGGAACGAAAAGAAGAAGATGGAATTATTAAAACTTAAAAGCCTAGAAGAGGAGCCCTGTGGGGTGGAAACTCAGACATCTGAGCAGGAGCTCTGCTTGGCTGGTGCTGGTGCCTCTGAGGAGGGTGCTCTGGGGCTGGTACTGTGAGCGCTGGAGAAACTGCCAAGTGAAATTAACTGTCGCCACTGGAACAAACTATCACTGCTGTTTCGTTGAAGAAGACCTCCTAGGGTGATGCTGACAGGAACAGGAAACCAAAACGAGAGAAGTAAGGAAACAGGAAGGTATGGTCCCGTTCTCCCAGCTTTCCAGTCTCCCTCTACTGCCCCTATGGGAGGATTCTAACATGGCACCTGCTGGCAAAGGGGAAATGGGAGTCCGCAGAGCCCTGGCCCTGGCATTGCAAAGACAAGCTAATCTCATTATCATACCTAAAAAACATGCACACAAATTCTGTAATATCAAATATCCAGAAAGTGTCCATACTGTCCTGACAGTTTTATAATTTTTTTATAGTTTATTTGAATCAAGATCCAAATAATGTCTGTACGTTGCTGTTGATGAGAACTCTTTTTTTCATGGGAAGGAAAAACAACCCTGTAGAGGGATGACGGAGAGAAACTCACTTTCAAAGAAGAGAAATGTCAGGAAGGCATGTCTGACATATAATAAAATACCCTTAGGAGAAACAGCCAGGGAATTAATAAATCTGAGAAGAATTTATGTCTGAACTCCAACCATGGTGCACATCAGAAAGACACCTTTGGTCAAAAGGATGGAAGTATCCTTCCCCATACTTTATTAAAATACATGAGAAAGTTAAACTAAAAGCAAAGCTAGTGAGAAAGTGAAAGGCTGCATATTAATGGAAGTCTGACAAAAAATGAAATGTTCAGACCATTTATAAACTCAGGGTCCTACATGTCTGCACTATACCCTTCTTTAAGAATTTTAAGGTCCACTGTGAAGCTTTGATAAAGAAATACTTTTGATGGTTAAAGCTTTTATTAAAATTGATGTTACCCAAAAACTCTTTAAAAAATAATTTAGAAGGGTGATGGCTTAGGTATAGGGAGGGAGATTATTAGGTATAATCCTGCTCCCCACCAAGTGTTGCACCAGTAGATTTGGCGGCCGAGAAAGATCTCATCCGGGACAACAGATAGGTGTAAATAGCTCTAAGCCTGCAGCTGAGTTTTTATTCTGTTCTGTGTTGTTGTGCTATATTGTGTGATCTTCTTTCTTTTTTGGACTTGCAATTAGGATATAGTACACGACGTAGAGACTTCCAAGTCTCTACCATTCAATGAATGCTAAAAAATTCATACCTCTCTTATTAACCAATGCACAAAGTGCTCTCTTACTAGAAAAAGAGATTGAAAGAAGCATCTACTGAGAGCTTTTGATCCAAATCTAACATGAAGCTCTGAAGCTTCGTTCTCGAAGGGAGCTTATCTCTAAAATGGGAGATTTGGGAGGAGGGAATGCTCTTCAAATCTGAGAAAAGAGCACATTAAAGAAGACTGGTGAGAACATACTTAGATATGTGCATTCCTTAAAATATAATTCTAAATTTTTGTTTTTTGTTTTCTTTTTTTTTTAATCTTTTTTTTTTTTTTTTTATTTGACAGAGAGAGACACAGCGAGAGAGGGAACACAAGCAGGGGGAGTGGGAGAGGGAGAAGCAGGCTTCCCGCCGAACAGGGAGCCCGATGAGGGGCTTGATCCCAGGACGCTGGGGTCATAACCTGAGCTGAAGGCAGACTCTTAATGACTGAGCCACCCAGGCGCCCCTAATTCTAAATTTTTGAAAATAAAATTGATAACTACTAAATATACATAGTTTTAAGTACAGGTTTATTTATTTATTTTTACACAAAGATAAATAAGAAGAGTTCCTATAATCATGTCTAAGGAGTAACCAGAGTTTTATTTTTTTAAATTTTATTTTTTTTAAAGATTTATTTATTTATTTGAAAGAGAGAGAGCAAGTGGAGGGAGGAGGAGAGAAAGAATCCCCATGGGAAGCCTGACGCAGGGCTTGATCCCAGGACCCTGAGATCATAACCTGCGCAGAAATCAAGAGTCAGATGCTTAAGTGACTGAGCCACCCAGGCACCCCAGGAGCAACCAGAGTTGGTTTTTTGTTTTTAATTTTAAATTTTTATTTAAAATCAATCAATTAGCATATAGCATATTATTATTTTCAGAGGTAGAGTTTAGCGATTCATCTGTTGCATATAACAACCAGGAGCAACCAGAGTTTTAAACCAAATGCCCCCATTCACCTGGTGGAAACACAGACTAATTTTAGCCATCAAACCTGGAGGAAATAAAGACTTTGGAGTGATATCCTGGTAGCCTAACCTTAAAAAGTACAAATGAAAGTTAAACAATATTAGATTAGGAACAATGATTTCAGGCAACTACTGTACAAGTTTTAGGGCACCCATACACTTTGGAACCCGAAAGAAAGCAAACCCAGCACGTCTGCCACTTCTTACCTGTACCTCCATACTTGTCTGCCATGTTAATATCAATGTCAGATTTTAAACTCAGCATAGTCCTAAGGACATCATCACTGCCTTTTCCAGCAGCCCACATAAAGGATGTTCTTCCTTCGAGGTCTGAATCATCTTTCACTGAAGGATGTTTTAAAAATACTTTAACTGTTTCCTGTAAGAAAACTTCATTAAAAAAAAATTGAGACAAGAGGGTAGCGTTTTCTATGGTAATAAAGCCAGTGTTATATGTGACTTCCGCTAAGACACAAAGTATTTTTCCCCTGATTTTGAATCAAATGAAATTATCTTTTTATGACTAACGAAACTACAATTTCCACTGAAAGTAACAATCCTCTTTCTTTATATATTAGTTTTAGTTTCCATGCACTTCAAACACATAACCTAACTCCCTCATTCAACATCCTCATAATTGAGAATGATCATCCTCAACCAAGTTTTAAAATTGTATAGGTCACTCTTTGATAGATGAAGGGACAGTTAAAAAACTAACAAGTATTCGGTGTCATGAGCAACATTAAAATTTAGGTTTTCTTGGACATTTTACATGCAGGGACCTGAATACTCAGCCATACCTATAGAAGAGGTTAATACATTCTCTTGTTGTGGTTTTGTTACTATTATTTAAAAAATATTTAATGCATTTATTACATTATTATAAATTTAATTATTTATTTAATGCATTTATTGCATTATTATTAATAATGATGTGTGGCTACTGAGAAATACAGAGTTCAATTCATTTAAACAAATATTTATTTAGCAATTCCTATATGCAAGGTCCTTCCTCTATGAATTCACACAAAAATTAGGACCCCACAATAATTCTAATAGTGCCTGACAATTTTATTTTTTTATTTTATTATTTTTTTTAGTTTCAAGTTTTTATTTACATTCCAGTTACTTAACGTAGAGTATAATATTAGTTTCAGTAGACTTTAGTGATTCATCATTTATATGCAACACCTGGTGCTCATCATAACAAGTGCCCTCCTTAATGCCCATCACTCATTTAGTCCATCCTTCCCCCCACCTCTCCTCTCGTACCCCTCAGTTTATTCTCTATGTTAAGAGTCTGTTTTATGGTTTGCCTCTTTCTCTTTTTCCCCCCCATGTTCATCTGTTTTGTTTCTTAAATTCTACATATGAGTGAAATCATACGGTATTTGTCTTTCTCCAACTGACTTATTTCACTTAGCATTATACTCTCTAGCTCCACCCATGTCGTTGCAAGTGGCAAGATATCATTCTTTTTTATGGCTGAGTAATATTCCGTCACATATATGCCACATCTTCTTTATCCATTCATCAGTCGATAGACACTTGGGCTCTTTCCATAATTTGGCTATTGTTGATAACAGTGCCTAACAATTTTAACGGGAGCTAATATTCACAGCATTTTATTTATTATTTATTTATTTATTTATTAAAGATTTTATTTATTTGACAGAGATAGAGAGAGGGAGAGCACAAGCAGGTGGAGTGGCAGGCAGAGGGAGAGGGAGAAGCAGGCTCCCCGCTGAGGAAGGAGCCCGATGTGGGACTCAATCCCAGGACCCTGGGATCATGACCTGAGCCGAAGGCAGCCGCTTAACCGACTGAGCCACCCAGGCGCCCCTTCACAGCATTTTAAATTGTTTCCTTCTTTGAGCCTCAGATGCTTACAAACTTTTAGGGAGATCATGGTAAGTTCTACTTGAATGGAAGTAAAACAGTTTCAGAAAAAGAAAAATTCTGGAGGCTGTGAGCTGGCCAAAAATGTATAAAGTGTTGATGCTCAATACTCTAAAGCAAGAAGAAATTCGAGGACTCACCTAACGCAACCCTTCATTTTCCAGATGAGGAAATTTAGGTTCAAAGTCATACAAACATTGGTGGCAGATATAGGAGTAGAACCCAGAGCTCAATCATAGCACTTTTTCCACTGCTCACATTGCTTCCTAGTCTTAAAAGTCATTGTTGAGCTGCTGAGGCATTATAGGGTCGTGTTCCTGGGATCTAGGGTGTATGCCTAGTACATGCTAGATTGGAATAAGCAAATGGATTTTAAAAGTTGATAACTGATAGTATCCACTACATTGTACTTGTTGATTATGATAGAAACGTTATCATAATTTAATAAATAACAGTTTATATTAAAAAATGTTGGTAATGGGGCGCCTGGGTGGCTCAGTTGGTTAAGCGACTGCTTTCGGCTCAGGTCATGATCCTGGAGTCCCGGGATCAAGTCCCACATCAGGCTCCCTGCTCAGCGGGGAGTCTGCTTCTCCCTGTGGCCCTCCCCCCCCCATGCTCTCTCTCTCTCATTCTCTCTCTCAAATAAATAAATAAAATCTTTAAAAAAAAATGTTGGTAATGTTTTGGTTTGTTTTCTTTTTACTAATTTGCAAACATTTCTTTGTTGGGTATGTTTTCTTAATGATGAATGTTTGCAGAGGTTTTGTGGGTCTTGTTGTTGCTGTTTTCTAAACAGGGAATTACAGCCTCTTGTGAGTGAACAGAGTCCAAGAAGATCAAGGGGCTTGAAACTGAGCTTAGAAGATTTGCAGAACTATTGAAAAATCATCTCTGTAATCGGCAGATTATCCAGAGCAAGTATTTCTTTGAATAAGCATCCATAATGTTCTGCCATTCCTTCTTACTCCCAATAGCCTTAGTCACTTAATTGTTAGTATCTGTGCACGTGTTAAATTTGGAGTCTAAGACTTGAATTCAAGATCTTGGGCAAGTCATTTAATCTCTTGAAACCTTGGTTTCTTCCTCTGTAGATTAGGGATACCATGTCCTCTCACAGGCTTGTATTGAAGTATGAATTGAATTCTGATTTCCACAGGTTGATTAGGCTGGGCCAGTGAATTTCTTATCTATCTGGAGCAAGAATGGGTCTGAGATAATAGAACGATGGGAGACTGTAGAAGAGAATGGCTTACCAAAAGTCTAGGTGATAAAGTTTTAGAAATGCCAAGAAGGAAGGACCATAGTTATAGTTGTTCTGGGTACTAGAGAGAAAGAAAGGTGGGAAAATAAGATATTTTAGCAATCTTCTCAGATTGCTTCAATGTATTCAGTGATGCATTGGGGAGGTCAGGAAGATGGAATTAGGCTCTGCTGATGATAGCATTCTTATAATTTAATGAAACCAAAGTTTTTACTACACACACCCACGTAGAAGGCAGTAAAATCAACTCTGACTGCTTTGACGTGTGCCTCTTTGGATGAGTCTCTAGTTCTTGGTGGCCGCTTCCTCAGAGAGCTGAAGCAGCCTAGCTGTTATCATCTAGACTGAGTGACACAATGGATGAGAAAATGCTCTGTAAACCACAAAGGGTGCCAAGGGAAAAATTAGCCATAATATGCAATATCTTTGGAAATAATAATTCATATTTTTGTTTTCTCAGCTGTATAATTCCTAAAATTATTAGCATTAGCAATAGTAAGAATGCGTGGCATTTCTTGCGTACCTGCTCTGTACCAAGAACTACACTAGGCACTGGTCACAAATTTTCTCTAATTCTTACAACAATCCTGAAGGAAAAGGTATAATTATCCTCATTTTACATATGAAGAAACTAAGACTCAAGAGCTAAAGAACCTTGTGCCAGGTCATCCAGCCAGCAAAGAGTGGAGTCAGGGCTCCAGGCAAGGTTGGACCCATTCTAAGCCTTTGCATATTGCTTTCAGGACAATTACGATGGCTGAACGCAGTGCATATAAAACCTTAGTGCCATAAAATTAACCAGAAGAGGAAATGTACTTACACAGAACAAAATGTTACACTGAACAGTTAATGTAAAAATGGTCTTAAAATTTCCCATGACTAACCACTTTACAAAGACGAAGACTATCCCTCGCATCACGGCCAGAGTTAACAGTATGAGCAATTGTTAAAATATAATTGTGACACAAACGCAGAAATGAGTACATGTAAAACCGAAATTTTGATAAGATCAGTGGATTGTAGGAATGCCAATTTCCTGTTTATGATATTGTTTCATACTTTTGCAAGATGTTCTCATTGGGGTAAACCGGGTGACGGGAACATGGGATCTTGCTCTTTTATTTCTTGCGACTGCATATGAATTTATAACGATGTCAAAATAACAATTTAACCAAGAAAAAAAGAGAACTGTCATGTTTTACTTACGGCAAAGTTACTCTGAGCTGCATAGTGCAAGGGTGTTGCTCCTTGGCTGTCGGATGGGATGGTTCCAGACTTATTTCTTTCTAAAAGGAGATAGACGATCTGTGCATGGCCTGAAAGCAGACACAACAAGGCAGTGAGCACATCAAAGGACCACTTAATTTATAATTTATTTAAAGGGAAGTTTTCTGAATAGCAGCCCCCAGGACAGCCTCTTCTAACTTCTTACTAAAATACTATGCTAAGGTAGAACAAAGGCAACACTTATGACACTAAAATCTTAATGCTTCAATCAGAAAGGAAATGACAGTCATTATAATTGCTAGAGTGAGAAAAAGCTGTATCAGGTATCAGCTCAGTGCCTTCCCTGGCTTCACTTTATGACACAGGTGGGAAGCCAGCCTCCGACAGCCATCATGGTCCCCAGTCTCCAGGCTGTGCTGTGTGGAACCGCTGTTGCCCTCTGCTATTCAGGAGGACAAACTTGGTTACATCCTCTTGTGACCTCTGCGGCCTCCTTTCAATCCCCTCTGCCCTCCCTCCCCCACTTTTTTCACTTCTGGGCAGTGATTTCAAGTGCAAGGAAACACGTGGCAGGAACGATGAGGCGGTGGCAGAGGAAATATGCAGCGCATCCAAGAGGGCATGGTTTCCCCAGGCGAGGAGCTCTAGGAAGGATCAAAGAAGGAACAAACCCAGTAATAGCAGATTTGGGAAATCTGAATTTCAGGCATTCTACTGCCTCAGCATAGTGGGGACCTGGGCAATGAAGATGCCACATCAGCAGAACAAGGACACACTGCATGAAAACCGGGCAGAAAAAGGGAATCTGAGTGGGAGTTGTGCTCATCTACCCGCTCCCACATATGATCCAAGCTGGAGTTCCTGGAGACAGGCGAAAAGTAGGATCACAGACAAGCTACTGAGACACATGCCATCTTGTTGGAAAGATAATGAGGAAAATTCAGTAAGGGCAATATGAAAACATACCATGGGACAAGGAAAAAGGAACACCACCACAAAGATGAAGCGCATACCTCAGAAAATGATCTAGAGAAGGATCCAGAGGAAAATTTCAGGAAACTGTCTGGCATCCTTGACTTGTGCAAAGAGATGGCCTCTATGAAATGAAACAGAATATCCTAAGAAGGACATAATCTGAAATGAAAAGGTGATGGAAGAAGGTGAACAGGAAATAAGTCAAGATACAAAGAAATTTGGATGAGAGAAGGAAATCAAAATACAACCTAAAATACAATCGATGAGAGGCAGAAAGAAAGCAGAACTTACGGAACAAAAAGTCAATGTACTGATATGGAGACAAACTTGTGAAGTCCTCTCAGGATGCGGAGGAAAAGGAAAAAGGGATGAAACTGAACACTGAAATGAGATCTAAATAATAATTATAAATCTGACAATAAAACTGAATGTAAATGCAAAAAGTATTTTAGAAAGATACAATGTGTAATTTATTTATTTATTTATTTATTTTAAAGATTTTATTTATTTGAGAGAGAGACTGAGAGAGAGAGAGCATGAGAGGGGGGAGGGTCAGGAGGGTCAGAGGGAGAAGCAGACTCCCTGCCGAGCAGGGAGCCCGATGCGGGACTCGATCCAGGGACTCCAGGATCATGACCTGAGCCGAAGGCAGTCGCTTAACCAACTGAGCCACCCAGGCGCCCACAATGTGTAATTTAAAAACAAAGTCCATAATAATAATTGGGGAAAACTTCAGATTATATTAACAAATACTAAAAAAGTGATAAGTATGCTAAGTGGAAATCAATAGATGTAGTTTTGCTCTTAACTCTGACTCATGTTTTAAAACATTTTTGATAAATTTAAAAGTAACCACTAGCAGAACCTAAAAACCCTCCTAAAATATTAGGCAATTCAAAACCAAGTAACAACAAACCTAATCTATATACCAAAAGGCAGAAAACATTAAGGAAATGGGGGAAAAAAAAAACCCAAAATAGGAAAAAAACCAAAACACCAATAATACTCAAAGAGCAGAATAGCAGAAAAAAGACCAAATTATATCTTATAACAGTGACTATTAATGGGTAAACCTCCTTCACTAAAAGAGAAAGTCTCTCAGATTGCATCCCCTGAAAAATCAGACACATAAACATATTTACACTCTCTCATCTAACAGAGTGGTCCCCCAAAAGGTTAAGTAAGAGGCTTATCAGGAAAATATGAAGAAAAAAAATCACATATCAGAGTACTGGCACAGACATAAAATTAAAGTCCCCTCCCAAGACACACAGGCACTGAATGTGAAAAGATTATTTTATATTTACATTTGTTGATGAGTGTGCATTACTTTTAAAATAAAAATTAAAACATGTTAAGACATTATGTTGAAATTAAAACCAATATATAACAGAGAATATATTTATATTACTAAAATTTAAGCATATGACAGAGGGATTTTAGTATGAGATGCCGCATATCAATTAAAAATTAAACGGAATATGTCAATCAGAGAAAGATAAGTATCATATGATCTCACTGATATGAGTATTTTGAGAAACAAGGCAGAGGATCATAGGGGAAGGGAGGGAAAAATGAAACAAGATGAAACCAGAGAGGGAGACAAACCATAAGAGACTCTTCATCTCAGGAAACAAACTGAGGGTTGCTAGAGTGGAGGGGGGTGGAAGGGATGGGGTGGCTGGGTGATGGACACTGGGGAGGGTATGTGCTATGGTGAGCACTGTGAATTGTGTAAGACTGATGAATCACAGACCTGTACCCCTGAAACAAATAATACATTATATGTTAATAAAAAATAAAAAAATTAAAATAATTAAATGGGAGGTGGATGCTGACAGGGGAAGGGAAGCCATGTAAAGTTTCTGGTATTCATGTAGTTCCTCCTACCGCTGATCCTTTGATTCACAGTTATCTCACCTAGTAAAGCTGCCCAGTGCAGCGGGGTTCGAAATAAGTTATCGTAAGACGTTATATTGCAGCTTTCGTATGAGGTCAAGACATCAACCACTGTCACATTCCCATCGGCGACTGCGAAGTGAAGAGGTGTCCGACCCTCGTAGTCTTGCCAGTTCAGTAAAGACTCCGTGGGAGCAGCATCCTATTTTTAAGGAACCAGAGACTTCAGATACACATGGAATCCTCAGTAAATCACACTGGACAAACGCATTAACTGAGCAATTTTCTAAACCTGTATATTCTTAGCACAAAGTGGTAAATTCAGAAAAAATTACACATTCTAAGTCTTTAAAACTTTGTCACGTTTAACTCTAAAAAATGCAGAAAAGATACAATAAATACTAATACTGATTATCCAGACTGAATAGGTGTCAGTATTTTGCCTAATGTGCTTTTGTATCTACAATGGATTCAGCTAAAGCTGTATGTTTTGTACTTCTGTTACATATGTGTGCATCCACAAACAGTACATAAATTATGTATGTATGTTTTCAATATTTACACCTTTGAGTTTATACTATGCATATCCTTTGGCAATTTTTTCTTTCAACACTATACTTTTGGGTATTTATGTTGATACTAGTTCATTTGTTAAACCACAATTTAGTTATCCGTTCTCCTACTGAGGGACAGTTAGGTTATTTACATTTTTCCCATTATTAACAATAATGCTGCATGAACATGCTTCCATTACAGGTCTCCCTGTAGCCCATGTATGAGATTTTTCTCTAGCCCAGACACCTAGCAGGGGAATTGCTGAGTAGAAGGAAATTTACATTTTCAACTAGGTATTATCAGACTGCTCTCCAAATGGTTACACTAATTAACACATCCATGACAATGTGTAAAAATTTTTATTTCCCCACATGCTGGCACAAATTCACCTCTTGGTATTATCAAGCTTACTATGTTTTTTCCCATATAGGTGTGGAAAGCATTTTCTGATGTTTTAATTTGTATTTATTTTATGAATGAGGTTGGGATTTATCATATGTTTATTGGCTATTCTGTTTAAATTGACAGTTCACATTTACTCATTTTTCTATGAGGTCTTTGTATCCACTGCTTAGGTCCCCTTTCAAGAATAAAGGACTTATTTCCCTAGCTGCTGTGAGTGCTGCCAGTAGATGACCCTCCAACAGTCAGACTTCTGTGATTGCTTCAGCTGAAGAGTTGCCTCATGCAAGGTCGTATTCCTTCCCAGATCAGGTCATACCCAAAAGCCAAGACCTCCTGCCCCAATTTGAGAACTCTCCAAAGAGCCACCCCAGATTTAAGCTGCCTGTAGAGTCATCCTATTTTATAAAACAAGTGCATGAAAGGTATTATAAACACTTCAAAAAAGAGAAGTAGAATTTTACCACAGTGGTATTTTAGGCCTTTGAGTCTCCCAAGGACTAAGATGTGTTTACAAGGGAAAAAAAAAAAAAGCCAAATCTATGAGGAAATAAGATATTATGAGTGACAAGTATCCTCTAAAGACTTCAGATAATGGAACTGACAGATAAAGAATATAAAATAACTATCTATAAAGCATGTAAAAAAATAAAAAATGAAACAAAAAGTGATTCAAGGAACAAAAACTATCAAGAAGACCCAGCAGACATGAAAACAAAACAAAACAAAACAAAAAGAACTTTTATTTTCTTAAAAGATTTTATTTATTTGACACAGAGAGAGAGAGAGAGCATAAGCAGGGAGAGTGGCAGGCAGAAGGAGAAGCAGGCTCCCCACTGAGCAGGGAGCCTGATGCGGAGCTCGATCCTAGGACCCTGGGATCATGACCTGAGCCAAAGGCAGACGCTTAACTGACTGAACCTCCCAGGTGCCCCCCAAAAGAACTTTTAAATGTAAAAATATAATCCCTAGGATTAGAGGCTCAATGAAGAGGGCAAACAAGAGAGTGGACTCAGTGGAGGGAAGTCTTGGTCTGTAGGAAGGCACATCTGTTATTACCCAGAACACAGCAAGAGAGACAAGACGATGGAATGTAGAAGAGAGGAGACACGGATAATAAAATGAAAAGGTCTAAAATATGTATAACTGGGACCTTAAAGGCAAGAATATAGAGAATGAAAGAGAGATAATATTTAAAGAGATAATAGCTATATATTTTCCAGAACTGATATGCAATAAGAGTATACACCAAATAGGACCAAAAAAAATTTTTAAAAAAGCACCATCCCTAGACGCACTGTAGTGAGACTGCAGGATGCCACACAGAGAAGAATTTAAAAGCAGCCTGAGAGAAAAGTTAGATCATCTAAAAATTAATGACAATTAGACCAATAACAGACTCCTCCAGAGGAACAATGAAAGGCAGAAAGAAGCAAAATAATAGCCCGAAAGAGTTGAGAAATAACTATTGCATATACAAAATAATTTTATCTAAATTTTATCTAAAATCTAATTCCTGTGTTATAAGCAAATAGAACTAAATATCAGATTACCATAGCTTGTAAACTGGAATTTGAGGAGTGATTAGAAACCTCAAAGAACCCACTGATAAATATTCAAAATTAATAAGAAAGTATAGCAAGCTGGTTAGATGCATTTTTGTTTTGTTTTGTTTTTGATGCATTTTCTTTTTTTTTTAAAGATTTATTTATTTGACAGAGAGAGACACAGAGAGGGAGGGAACACAAGCAGGGGGAGTGGGGGAGGGAGAAGCAGGCTCCCCACCAATCAGGGAGCCCGATGCGGGGCTCGATCCCAGGACCCTGAGATCATGACCTGAGCCAAAGGCAGACGCCCAACGACTGAGCCACCCAGGCGCCCCTTGATGCATTTTCAATGAATAAAAATATCAACTGCCTTTCTATGTACCTGCAACAAGCAGTTAAATATATATCCTAGACATGCTAAAAAAAAAAGTTCAGGGGCACATGGCTAGCTCAGTCAGTAGAGCCCATGCTGGCTGTAGAGATTACTTAAAAAAAAAAAAAAAGTTCAAAGCAGCACTATTTTTTTAAAAAGATTTATTTATTTATTTATTTGAGAGAGAGAGAAAGACAGAGTGAGTGCTAGTGGGGGGAGGGGCAGAGGGAGAGAATCTTTAAGCAGGCTCCCCGCTGATTGCAGAGCCCCTCCAGGGGCTCAATCTCACTACCCTGAGATTATAACCTGAGCCAAAATCAAGAGTCCAACACTTAACCCCCTGAGCCACCTAGGCGCCCCAAAGCAGCACTATTTTTTTTTAATATTTTATTTATTCATTTGAAACACAGAGATAGAGAGAGAGAGAGAGAGCATGAGCAGGGGGAGAGGCAGAGGGAGAGGGAGAAGCAGGCTCCCCGCTGAGCAGGGCTCCATCCCAGGACCCCGGGATCATGACCTGAGCCAAAGGCAGACGCTTAACCATCTGAGCCACCCAGGCGCCCCAAGCCGCACTATTTTTAAATAGCGAAAAACTAGAAATAGTTCCAAATGTTTATGAATAACTGAATAATGCATGGCTTGCTCATAAAATGGAAATACTATATAACAGTAAAAAATAATATATTACAGTTATGCACAGCATAGATAAAATCACTAGCATAATATTGAACAAGAAAAACATGTTGCAAAAGAAGACATTCAATGTGATTCCATGTACACAAAATTCAAAAGAAGACATTCAATGTGACTCCATGTACACAAAATTCAAAACATGAAATTGAGGAGAGTGGCTGCTTCTCAGAAAGGGGAGAATAGAGTGGTGCTGGGCGGTACCTAGGGAGCTTCAAAGGTAACGGTAACATACTCATTTTAAAACTCAGACGTGAGGGGCGCCTGGGTGGCTCAGTGAGTTAAACGTGGGATTCTCGATTTTGGCTCAGGTCATCAACTTAGGGTCTTGAGATCGAGCCCTGTGTCAGGCTCCATGCTGGGTGTGGAGCCTGCTTAAGATTCTTTCTCTTCCTCTGCCCCCTCCCTGACCCCTGCTTGCGTGCTCTTTGTCAAAAAAAAAAAAGATAAACTCAGAGATCAGTACATGAGTATTTGTGGTTTCCATATTCTTTATATCTTACCAGTATTTTACAAATGTTATCTCTATGCAGTATTTAATAAGCACAAGTATAAAACAAAGTCAGGGGATGATAAACACAAATTCAGGAAAGTAGGTGAAGGGGGACAGGGCAAGCAAGGCACAGGGGGAGAGAATGGATTTGGAAACTGGCACATAGGGAGGGGTGCCTGGGTGGTGCAGTCAGTAGTCTCTGACTCCTGGTTTCATCTCAGATCGTGATCTCAGGGTTGTGAGATTGGGATCACCAGTCCGGCTCTGCGCTCAGCATGGAGTCAGCTTGGGACACTCTCTCCCTCACCCTCTGCTCACCCCCGCCCCACTCTCTCTCTCTCTCTCTCTCTCTCGCAAATAAATAAATAAATCTTAAAAAAAAAAAAAAAGAAATTGGCACATAGGAAATTCTGTGTGGTCTTAAATAGCAGCACTAAAATGCTCTATTTCTTGAGTGATGGGTTTCCATGTGCTGTATTTCTTTTGCTTCATAATTTATTTATGTGTCATAGACCTGCTTTTGTGTACTGGCTATCTCATAATAAAAAATTGTTTTTTGGAAAGGTTAGCAGCACCATTGTACTCACCAGAATGCATCGTACTGTGTGAACAGCACTTGGATCCTTGTGGTTGGCTGCCCAGTGAAGTGGGATCTTGCCTTCGACGTCAGGAATCCCAATGTTGGAGTCATGCTTGATAAGCAGCTTTACGTGCTCAGGGTTATTGTAGTAGGCACTCCAGTGAAGAGCTGTTTGCTGCAAAATTCAGAGAGTCTCAAAAAAACAACAGTAACAAGAGTAACAGTAACAACACAACAAACTTTCCCCAAGCTTTTATTGTGTGACAGGCACCGTTGTAAGAGCTTTATATATTTTACCTCAGATAGTCATTATGACAACCCTGGGAGATAAGTCCTCTGACTTTGCATGTGATTGATGAGAAAATGGAGCACAAGGAGGACGAGCAATCTGCTCAGGGACATAAAGGTAGTTAGCAGTCCAATTGAGATTTTAACCCAGATTGAGTCCAGAATCTGACCTCTTATTCATGATAGGCACTTAGGTCATCAGGTACTAATCAGTGAGATTAGTAATACTGAGAAAAAGAATAGCATCCCAGTAGTTTATGAATAATTATCAACAAAGTAAGTGATGACCTTGATATTGCACCAAGTACCTTAAGGATTTGATGGAATGTTTTGAATTTCGGTATCTATCAAAAAGAAGATCCATGCGCAGGAAATCACGGATCTGGAATCCATTTCTTACACCAGAGTACAAATTTAAATTTAACTATAATTTTACAGGATAAATTCTTATACCTACTACTGATGTTAAGATACATGTTGAGGATACAGCAATACTTGCTTTATTTTAGGTAAAAGTTAAAAAGGAACATCTTGATGGGGTTCCTGGCTGGCTCAGTTGGAAGAGCATCCAACTCTTAATCTCAGGGTCATGAGTTCGAGCCCACGTGGGGTGTGGAGCTTACTTAAAAAATAAATAAAATCGGGCGCCTGGGTGGCTCAGTCGTTAGGCGGCTGCCTTCGGCTCAGGTCATCATCCTGGGGTCCTGGGATCGAGCCCCGCATCAGGCTCCCTGCTCGGCGGGAAGCCTGCTTCTCCCTCTCCCACTCCCCCTGCTTGTGTTCCCTCTCTCGCTGTGTCTCTCTCTGCCAAATAAATAAATAAAAATCTTTATAAAAAATAAAATAAAATGTCATAAATAAAATGTACTAAAAAAAAAAGAACATTCTGAACTTGTTGGCATTGCTTTAAAATCCCCCCTGCCGTTTCATCAATAAACCACAGTAAGACTGGTCTCCCTATTAGAAGAGTTACTGAGGGAACACAGAAATGGTTGCACTGTACATTATCCCTTATAAATAGCAGTGTCATCAATTCAATCTAGAATCAGATCATTTAACAGGAGGAACCAAGCTCACTTGCTACCTAGAAAACTTTAAATGTTGACATATGTGGTATTCAGGGAAAGTGCACCTACAGGCATTTAATATGAAGAGTCACTCATTACTCTTGATTTAGTAATGACTACAGAACAAAAACAGTCACAAATATAATAGCAATAATTTCCTACAGCCACATTTTTTTTCTTTCTTTCCTTCCTTCCTTGACCTTGCAGATCTGTTTTACATCTGTCTGACTGGATAACCTCCCATCCGTGTTCAGTAACAGAAGAATACACAAGTACTGGAAGATAGCAGGGAGTTCCTAGAAGACACTGGGAAAGACATTATAGAGCCTAAAGACATCTGGGGCTTTGCAAGTGATTAATGGTCTTTGTGGATTGATCAAAGTGCTTTTTCAGTGAAATATTAGCACTACAAATGCTGTAAGTAATAATATTAGTTTATAGTCGTTGTAAAATAAAGTCAAAGTTAATTTCAGAACACTGGGTTCTGTGAGTAACAGCTAAACAAAACCTGAAAACGACACGAAGAACCCGTGAGAATAAAGGGATCACTGGATGTGAACGCAGCGGGTTTAATCCCAAGAGTTTTAATTACGTGGGAGTGTTGGAGTTAGCAAGACTCCATGGTTTGGAGCCTGGTGGAAAGGGAGAGGATTTTTGTACTTGTCTAACTGAATAGCACATTCTTTTCCTGTAAAGAACGATGAAAGCGTTGATTGAAACAGTGACCGGCTTGCACAAGATGGTAAAAGTCAAGAGCTGGGAAGATCGCAGACGCCAGCAACAAATGCCAGAGCAGATGTTAGAGCCAAAATGAAATGAATAATATTCATTTTATAGCTAATGTTTCCTGAGAGCATACTATGCACTGGGCGCTGTGTTAAACCGTATTTATATGTGTTACCTTCAACAACCCTATCATTCCCTTTTCACATATGAGAAAATGGAAGCGTAGAGGAGTTAAGAAAATTTGCCCAAAGGTGCAGAAAGAGTTAAGTAGTGGCTTCTAGACTGAAACCCAAGCAGTCTGATGCTAAAGCCCAGGCCTTTAAACCACTATGCGCCTCCTATGTTGCCCCAGGCATTTGGCCACCACAAGTCTAGCACCAATGGTAACTATCGCTATTAGCTATCAAATATTGGGGTCTGGGCGTAGGCCTGGGTTGAATTCTGGTCCTGCCACTTGGATCTTGAACAGAATTTAATCTTCCCGAGTTTCAGTTTTCCCATCAGTGAAAAGGAGATGATACTACCTACCACACGTGGTTGGTAGGAGGATTAAAGGACCGAATTTAAGGAAATATTTCACTGGGGAGTATGAAGACAAGGAAATGTCCCAAGTGATGAGTGATAATTCTTCTTGAGGTTTCACATCATAAAAAGAAGCATTTGCAGGGCGCCTGGGTGGCTCAGTCGTTAAGCGTCTGCCTTCGGCTCAGGTCACAATCCCAGGGTCCTGGGATCGAGCCCCGCATCAGGCTCCCTGCTCCACGGGAAGCCTGCTTCTCCCTCTCCCACTCCCCCTGCTTGTGTTCCCTCTCTCGCTGTGTCAAATAAATAAATAAAATCTTAAAAAAAACAAAGGAAGCATTTGCGTTTTGCTCTCATTTGCCTCCAATCTTGACAGTCCCTTACCTTGTTTTTATCCTGTGTGTCCACTTCTCCTGCTGCCATAAACTTCAGCAGAAGCGCCAAACACTTAGGGCTCTTGTGCCGGGTGGTCAAGTGCAAAGGGGTCATCTCTTCCAGATCCTTTTGCATCCAGTTTGCTCGGCGTGTAAGTAAGAGTTTCATGAAACGATAATTTCCCTAAATAAAAAATAAGAGACGGTAAGAAGAAATGTAGTCTGGGGCCAAGACATTTTCCAAATTTTAAAATGTTTTCAGTATTTTAACTATTCTGCTAGAGTAAAAATATTCAGATAAACTGACCAAAGGAAAAATACTTATAATTCCACTACTCCATCAATTGTTTTCCTTTTTCATCTTCCCTTTCAACCACTTCCTAGTGCATACAGTTTACACAGTGGCTGGTTAAGGTTTCATTGTGTTAAAGCACCGTCTTTCTTTTTTTAAACTGTTCTATTATCGTTTTCAATATTTTCTTTTCTAGAAAATGCTACAATGCACTTTTATTTCCACATGGTTTTTCTTAAGAAAATTTTCTTAATTTTCATAAGAAAAAATTATCAGGAACCAATTTACTGGGTCAAAGGAGTTCGCACATTTCATGGTTTTTGGCGTATTTTCCAAATTGCTATCTAGTAGCAGCAATGAGATTAGTTTCAGCTCATTCTGAACAATATATCACCTTTTATTTATATGCAAAGTATAATAACCTTGTGAAATGAATGGAGATATAAAACCCCAATTTACAGGTGAAGGGAGTGCGATTCATAGGGGTTGAATGTTTTCTTCATCGTCATCTGGTTAATAAAGTAGGCGGTTAGTTTTCTTGGTGAGAGCAATGTACGGGTACAACTGAGATAGATGCATCTTGTTCAAAGTCTGGGTCCCAGACTCATCCCGTCACCTAAACACCAACCCAGAAGTCACTTCAGGCTGTCCCCTTGGAGGCAATACTCTCCACATCAGTTAAACCCTCCAATCCAGCAGAATCAACCCATCCGGAGAAAGCAGTTTAGCTAAAGGGCCTAGAGCAATACCCTGGTGGGGATCCAGGTCAACCGTACGTGTGTGTAATATGGGAGCTTTGAAACAAAACAAAACCTTCAAAAACTAGTTCTTTGGAGCAACTTCCTGAAGCCCAGTCCCATGTTTCCGATTCTGGTTGGAGCCTTCAGTTCGCTTGGTACCAGGATACGTGAAATTTGACAAGACCAAACTGTATGGCACGATCAAGTTCTGTGCCTGCTTCAGGCCTACTTATTTCTCCCTATTCACAGCAGAATGGCAGCCAGGGTTATCTGTTCTTTTCTTTCTTTTTTTTTTTTTTAATATTTTATTTATTTATTTGACAGAGAGAGACACAGTGAGAGAGGGGGCACAAGCAGGGGGAGTGGGAGTGGGAGAAGCAGGCTTCCCGCGGAGCAGGGAGCCCGATGCGGGGCTCGATCCCAGGACCCTGGGATCATGACCTGAGCCGAAGGCAGACGCTTAACGACTGAGCCACCCAGGCGCCCCTTATCTGTCCTTTTCATCTTCTAAGAGCCTCTACATCCTTAACTTTGCTGGAAATGTGTTTTTTTTTTTAAGCATTATAATGCATTGATATTCTACCATGAGTGGCTATTAGTATTAGCAAAAAGACATTTATTAGTTAAGCAGCAACCACCACATTGTGACAAATGTGAGTCTTAGGCAAAGGGGATCGGCTAGAGAGACAATGAGGTGCAGAAGGATGATGACTTGTCTGCTAACCCACAGGGGCAGAGACAGGATTCAACTCAGCTCAAGGGTTGGGCCACAGAGAAGAATCAGAGGCTACAAAAGCGTCCATTAGGCTGTCTATATTAGATGGGCAGACTTGCAATGGACCAAAAAGCCCAGTGACTCAGCTCAATTATTTCCTCTCAGGGAGGCTTTCCTTGACCACCCTAATGGAACTTTTTTTGTTATGCTTTATTCTAGTACCTTCCCATTTCCTTCACAGTACTTTGCTCGGTTTGTAGTTACATATATATTTGCTTCTTTCCCTTCCCTGGGATCTCTGTCACGAGCTGTAAGCATCACAAAGGCAGAGACTGTGTTTTATTGAGCGTTGTCCTTGGCATAGCTCCTGGCACAATATGGGTGCTTCCTCGAAGGACAGAGTGAATGAGAGGAAAGAAAATATCTTCCAGAGGTTTTTCTTTTTGTTTAAAAATTCTTGATGTTGCTATATTAGATCATAAGAGCTAAGAATTCTAATTCTCAGATCTCTGGTATTCGGTTACTCTTACTTTTTTTTTTATTATTATTTTTTTAAAGATTTTATTTATTTATTTGAGAGAGAGAGAATGATAGAGAGAGCACATGAGAGGGGGGAGGGTCAGAGGGAGAAGCAGGCTCCCTGCTTGGAGCAGGGAGCCCGATGCGGGACTCGATCCAGGGACTCCAGGATCATGACCTGAGCCGAAGGCAGTCGCTTAACCAACTGAGCCACCCAGGCGCCCCTCTTACTTTTTAATATTTTATCTATTTGGGCATCATTCATCTGGCTTTCTCATGTCAGCCAGTGCCAGCTTTTGAGAGGTAAGTGCTAAAATTTCCTCAAGAGGGCACCCTGCTCTAAATCTCTTGCCATCTTCTCTTTGAAAAAAGAAATGATGCCCAGGAAAAACAAATCTATATGGTACTTCTTACCAAAAAATAAGGCTTGACCTTTCTGAGCATAACATTTCAAATATTACAGAATAATTCATCATGACCTTTTAAAGATATTCAATCAGACAAACATTTTGATTCTGAAATTTAGAGGAAAAGGGAAGGAAAAGAAGGAAACAGGAATATGTTGGTGGGGGTGACTACTGACTTACAGATGCAGTGCTTACATTGTTCTGGGGATTCAGCCTATACAAAGCACGATGTACTCACTAATCACATTTATTTATTCTTTCACTCAAAAAACACTCATTGAGCCCTGTCTGAAGCAGGCAACCTGGTAAAATGTTTACACTAAGCTTTACTTATCACAAAGCTCTTTGACATAGATTCTATCTTTGCTCCTCACAGAAGTTACATGGAATACTACATCAAAAACTAATGATGTAATGTATGGTGATTAACATAATAAAAAAAAGATTAAAAAAAAAAAAGAAGTTACATGGAAAGGGTTTACAGACAAAGTATCTTCCTGGGCCTCCATTTCCTCCTCTGCAAAACAGGGATAACAGTACCTGAGATTATTGTGCATATGAAAGGATAAAGATCATATTTGTAAAGTACTTAGAACAGTGCACAAAGCAAATGCCTGGTAAATGTTTGCTTGTTTTATTATGAACACTTTTCCTGTGTGGAGGAGGCAACAAAATGTAGCCGACCAAAAGTAGAACCCAGAATGGCCCATGATGGAGACCATATATATAGAAAGATCTGACTGTACATAGCATACACACTTCAGCTGGTGATTATGGAGAGACCCAAGGTTAGGGACAAGTAAAAGTAAAAATAGTTGGAATGTTATAAATAGTGGTTTTCTGGAAATTTTTTTTTACACTGAGAAAGATGCCTATACTCTGCCTACAGATAATGATGACATAGGACCAATAAGGGCATACCCAGCAGGAATTCAGCTGGAACCCTGGGGAGATGTCAGCTTCTGTTCCAAAGGACAGAGACACAAAAGAGATATTATCTACGAATGCTGGGACTGGAAACACTATAATCCGTTTGGACCACGGTCAACTTCCCGGTCTCATGAACAAGCATTTATTAAATGCCCAGGGTATGCAAACTCAATTCTGAGAATGAGCAGAGGGGACAGAGAACTCTAAGATCTAAAATCAGGAGAATATTTCTTTTTTTTTTTTAAGATTTTATTTATTTATTTTAGAGACAGAGCACAAGAGGGGGGAGCGGGAGAGGGAGAAGCAGACTCCCTGCTGAGCAGGGAGCCCGATGCAGGACTCGATCCTGGGACTCCAGGATCATGACCTGAGCCGAAGGCAGTTGCTTAACGAACTGAGCCACCCAGGCGCCCCCAGGAGAATATTTCTAGTGTCAGTGGAAAAGGGGTGTATACCAGTTTGAGACAGCAAGCTAATGTGATAACTCTCTGAAGGTTGTATGATTCTGGGGACCCATATCACAGACAATTTTTCTTCCTATAAAGCCCTCTCAATACAAAAACAATCAAACAAAATGTCTAAATGTTTCCTCAAAATTGCTTGAAATTCAGAATTCTTAAGTTTTCTGGTTGATTCTTAAATGCAAGAGTAAGGAGGATTTGGAAGTTAATCATTTAGCACCATCTCTTAGGGGCATACAGAATCTGATCCTGAGATGACCATTGTTTTGGGATCCGCTTTTATAATTTCTGACTGAGTAGAAAACAGTATAAGAGTGAAGGAGGGGCACCTGGGTGGCTCAGTCGTTAAGCGTCTGCCTTAGGCTCAGGTCATGATCCCTGGGTTCTGGGGTCGGACTCCCTGCTCAGCGGGAAGCTTGCTTCTCCCTCTCTCACTCCCTCTGCTTGTGTTCCCTCTCTCACTCTCTCTCTGTCAAATAAAAAAATAAAATCTTAAAAAAAAAAGAGTGAAGGAGATAAAAGATCGAAAGAGTATATATTCTTTTTTTTTTTTTTTTAAAGATCTTATTTATTTATTTGGGGGAGAGAGAGAGAGGGAGAGAGAGCACAAGCTGTTGGGGGGGGGTGGTGGGAGGGGTGGAGGGAGAGGGAGAAGTAGATTCCCTGCTGAGCAGGGAGCCATTGTGGGTCTCAATCCCTGGACCCTGGGATCATGACCTGAGCTGAAGGCAGACGTTTAACCGACTGAGCCACCCAGGCACCGCAAGGAGTGTATATTCTTTTTTTTCTTAAGATTTTATTTATTTATTTGGCAGAGAGAGACACAGCCAGAGAGGGAACACGAGCAGGGGAGGGAGGGTGGGAGAAGCAATCTTCCTGCTGAGCAGGGAGCCCGATGCGGGGCTTAATCCCAGGACCCTGGGATCATGACCTGAGCCGGAGGCAGATGCTTAACGACTGAGCCACCCAGGCGCCCCAGGAGTGTATATTCTTAAGAAAACTGGTGGTAGTGAGCACAAGTAAGAGAGCTGAAGTTATAGAAAAGTCCTGATTTAGTCACTGAAAGGACATTAACCCTGATGTGATCAGGTCTGTTATGCCACTGAAATGAGAGAACATT